AGGTACGGGTTTTAATTAGAACAAGAAACGTGAAACCAGAACAGGTTGACTCTAGAGCAGGTTCGGAGTGAGTTTTTCGAACGCCCTGGAACACTGAAAATTATTTACACTGGAACCAGAGCAAGAAAAGAAATCGTCTAGAAGTATCTAACCATATGTTCTTAAAATAGTATTTACAATAATGATTAATTACACTCAACTTGAGTCCCTAAATAAAGAAATAAAAAGTATAACAATTAACAGCAATAATACCTGAAATATAAATTAATAAATAAGCTCACTTAATGCAGTACCTTCGTAAATGGCCATTTAACCCCAGTGTACAAGTATTTACCTGTATTCATTGCAGCATGTAATTATGGGATAGTTATTAGAGAAATATAAATCAATAATTAAAGTTGAAGTAACAATAAATAGCCTGAGGGGCAAATTTAATATTATGGAATAATATAGAAGGTATAAATACTTAAAACTGAAGTACCTAATAGTACATAACCTGAATGGTAAATTTCATATAACAAAGTTAATAATTAATTGAAACTGAAATAACAACATCTAATCTGAAGGGTAATTTAATATTGTAGTAGAACTGCGTTGTTGTGGTGATTTACTCCAACAAGGGGTTGGTAAGGTTTGATATTAAGACAATACAACATACTTATCAAACCTGAGTAGTCCCTAAACTCTTGGGGAGAACCTGACAGGTGGGATCAATATCTTCCAGTGTTTCCAATGGCCTGGGACTGGATCAGGGCCGCAACAAGAAGCAACCTGGCCCTGGGCACTGAAGTTCAGTAACTAGGAGTCACTAAGGCTTCCAATGGTCTCGAGGAGGCTGAAGACTGTAGGTCCTACTCGAAGTATACAGTAAGCAGCTTAACGTATGACTCTTTACTGAAAGTTAGGGACTAAAGCGTGACAAATAAAAGGGGACATCTAAGGGTAAAGATTAAAGGCCAAAATTACTTTGGCCTTTAGGAACAAACAATTGACCACGTTGGTCTTTTTCGACTCACAAAAAAAATCTGCACAAGGCGATTGGGTGCTAAAAAAGCGGATTAGCCACCCTAGATCTATGAGCGAAACTTGGCAACTCAGAAATCGGCAAAATGTGCCTGAGGAGTTTTCCCGAACACTTAATCATGGAAAGTCCTCGACCTGAATGACCTCTGCTTGTCCCTGCATTGTCCTTTAAAAAGGTTCTGTCAAAACTCCAAGGTGGAAGGTACTGGAGAATTTTGATGGTAGTTGGGGCATGGGACTTATTCAAATTAAGTTAGTACCGGTCATTGACTCTATTTGGAGCGCTGTCAATCTAGACAATCTACTCGGATCAGACAATCAGCTGTTCTAGTGTAAATATTGTGATTTTGTTTGTTAATAAATTAATTGTCTATTTATTTTAACCCTACTAACAGGAAATCAATTCCATTAATAAACCTCTAACTCAATGATTCTGGGAAGAATGAAAAGTTTGATGAAAAGTGTGGCTACAACTATTGGATAGAAAACAGTGGCTTGAGGAAGGTATGCTATTCAGAGAGGTGAAGAAGCTTATTTCCTTTTCTTTTGGTGCGGGAAAAGTCATCCCGTAACATTTGTTAAAGAAAATGATAGAAAATTATACAATGGAACATATGATGATGCGTTCCGAAGTTATCATTTGGGACAAACCTCGTGGGACACCCTGTATATATATATATATTTTTTTGGGAAAGATTCCATCAAACAGAAACGTTTGAGCTATTAATGCGCAAAATGCATATTTTCCATCAGAAAATTTCAATCAAAATTGAACACCTTTCAAAAATCAACTACGAAAATTCCCTACCAATTGGAGACCAAATAAATTGGTTGATATAATCCACAAGAAAGGGAGACTACATTACTCCTAACCTCCTTAAGTACCTATTATTGCTTGAAAAACGACCAATAACTTTCAACGTGGTTAGTAAGAACACGAGTACAAACTCCAAGTTATGGGATCTTGAAATTCAAATTATTCTTTAGTCTCCGATTGCTCGGTCCGCTCGCCAAATCTCAAAGAGAAGATCCTTGGAAATGTAAATCTACCAAAAAACGTAAACGATTGGAACCGAGTTCGGAATCAAGTTCAACAGCGACTTCAGAACATTAGGACTTTATTTCGGATTCCATCTAGAAGACGAAAATATGAAAAAATACGAAATTTTACACGTCTTTGCAGTCAAAATTAATACATACACCTCAAAAGTCTGTAAAGCTCCTCACAAATATTTGCGTATTTGGCTCGGTACCAGAGCTGGGCGAAGCCCTTAGTAAAAGGGCTTGAAGCACTAAGCCCTAAGCCCTCTATCAAAGTGCTTCAATTTCAAGCACAAATTTCTTTTTATTTTCAAAAGTGCTTCACAAGCACAAAGCCCTCAAAGTGCTTTGGGCTTGACAAGCACAAAGCCCTCAAAGTGATTTGAAAAGTGCTTGAAGCACATCAAAAGTGCTTGGGGTGCCTTGAAAAGGGCTTCAAGCTCTTTAAATATGCTTCAAGCTCTTTAAATCTGCTTGAAGCTCTTTATATGTGCCTAAAGCACTTTGAATTTGTAATAAAATTCTCAAAGTGGCATAAGCTACCGCGTACAGTCATCACACAGAATTGGTATAGTAGAGACGAACTTTACATTTCACAGAGTAGCAGTAGTATGTTTTTTTTTGAGATGTAGTTCTGGGGTACTTGGGGTAGTTGGGATATTACATGGTAATTCAATTTTAAGGTTTTCAACATGTTCAATGGGGAAAAGTGAAAAAAATCCAGTGATAAAGTTAAATAGGATACCAATATAAATTAATTATTTATTTGAATAATAAGTTCATTCATTTTTTTTTTAAATTCCATTCTAAGCTCAAACCCAAAACCTCCATTGTTAAGAGAGAAAAGACATAAGACGGTTCAAGTTCAAATAGTAGAAAAAAAAATTAAAGGACAAAATACAATCGAAAATTTTTAAGTGGGGGATAGGTTGAATGGTGGTCAATTCAAATTCCTTTCAAAGTGCTTCAAGCCCTTTTAAAGTGCTTCAAGCCCTTTCAAAGTGCTTCAAGCCCTTTCAAAGGGCTTCAAGCTCCCAAAAGTGCTTCAAGCCCTCTAAAAGTAATTGAAGCTCATTGAAAGGGCTTGAATTACTTTTTTCAATTACAAATTACTAAGCACTTTTCTAAAATAATTGACTTTGCAAGCCCCAATTACAAATCTATAAAAGGGCTTTCAAGTCCTCAAAGTGCTTCAAGCACTTTCGCAAGCACAAAGCACTCAAGCCCTGCCCAGCTCTGCTCGGTACTTGGCATCCATCTAGGATAGGTGAAAATCTAGAAAATTGAAACTAGAGAAACAGAGAGACGAGAACACATAAACAGCCAAATATTTGTAGCTATTTGCCGAATGTGTGATGGAGGCTTAATATAACAAGAATGCATTCTCTCTACTTTTTCTTTCAGATTTAAAAACACTGAAACACAAAACTGGACCTTAAATGAAACGAGGCCTTGAAAATTTCAAAATGAGTAGTAAAAACGATGCTCATAGATGATGTCGAACCAAGTGTTGAACTATTGCAAGGTTGCCACTTCTCATGTAATGAAACCTTAAATGAAACATTCCTTAGAAAATAAAAGTTGATGTTTCTAACTGACTAATAGGGACTCAGAAGAATATTTTACTTAAAGCTTAGTTAAATAGTTTAATTGAAGCTCTGTTACTCCTAAATTAAAGCAAATTCAAAGGCATATCATAATTTTATCAGTACAGAACTTCGAGTTATTACCACAAAATTTCCTTAAATTACCCCAAAAATTTCCTTAAATTGCCTTAAATTACCAAAAATTTCCCTGAATTACCACTATATTTCCACTAATTACCATATATTTCCACTAAATACCACTATATTTCCCCTAATTTCCAGTCATTACCACTCATTTCCCATAAAATTTCCACTAATTACCACTATTGTGTACACTAAATTACCACAATGAAATCCCCCTCGTCTAAAACCGATTTTGGAATAAAATTACAGATATTTTTGGCAAATATAGTTCAGGCTTTTTTTCGAAGATGGCGCCACCAGTCAATTCGTGATGTCATGATTAGGCGTTTTCGAAAAACCCGAACCGTTGGAGCAGCAGCTGATGTAGGTTGTTCAGCGTTTCCAAAAAAGCCTATTGACAACAGAACCTCCTTCTCACCTCGTGTATTTGTTTTGTTTTTTATTATTGGTTTATAAAATAATAGGCACAAAGCATGCTGTACCATTAGTTTCCATTGAAAATAAATAGAGTATCTATTTTACGTACCTAGGTATACATAAAAAAATTGGATCGTGTTTTGTAGGACAAAATGTCTTTGAAAAAATAAAAAGCTTCAATAATAATTATTAAAATTTATTTACAAAAGGTGGAAAGTGCTAAAATTAGAGTTTTTCCTTTGTGTTCTTGCATATTTGTGCAATAATAATATCCACCAATGCAGTAGAGCATTCCATTTAGGTATCTGGCGATTTGCATTTCTTTTACTAGCTCTTGGATCTTTTACCAATATCTGAAATTGTGTAAGACTCCTGGTAGGACTATTTTTTTATTATTCCTCTAAGTATTCCTCTATTTGTAAACCCATTCATATGCCAATTGCTTCCTGAAAATCTCATAGGTACCTACCACAACTAAACATACCTCAAAAACAAGCTCTACAACAAAATATCACTTTTACAGAGTCGAACAAAATTTGAAGTCATACCAGGCGTGGAAATACAAATCCCTCCATAATCTTGCTCAAAAGGGATTACTTGCATTTACATACACCTTGTACATTTCAGCCTGTAAAGAGGCGAGTAAAATTTTATAAGTTTATAAATGTATCCATAGTAAGCAAAACATTCCTTTCTAAAAAAAGTGGCATGAACAAAGATAAAATTCCGTTCTCCTTTTTGATTTTCTGGTAAGTGTTAGGTACCTGTAACAAAGAAGGAACCTAAAAATTATATACCTGAAGACAAATCTAAGTTATTTCTTACCTCGTATAAAAATTCCATAAGTTTCTTGCTTGGAAGAGACAAACACATGGCTTTGATAAAATAAATGGGTCGAATGGGCAACTGGAAAAAAGACTAATTTCACTATAAAATGTTCCAGTTACAATTTCAAGTTATTTCTTACCTCGTATATAAATGCCATAGGTTTCTTGCATGAAAGAGAAAAATACATGGCTTTCATAAAACAATATGAGTTGAATGAGAAACTGGAAGAGAGTATAATTTCAGTATAAAATGTTCCAGTTACAATTTCAAGTTATTTCTTACCTCGTATATAAATGCCATAGGTTTCTTGCGGGAATAAGCGCGTGAAGCCCCGGAGCTGTTCCGGAGCTCCTCCTAGGTGTGAAAGGAATACAACTATTGAGAACCGATGAACTATTTTTTGTCTTATTTCAATTACAGTAGAAGAAAGAAAGAAAGTACTGTATATGCGGCGTCAAAAAACAGTCGAGACCAATCAAATCTTTGTAAAACCAATTGTTTTGAACTCCTATATCAGTTTTTTCGGATCGAAGAAATTTCTCTACTAATTCAATTCACTACCTACTTACCTACCTATTTTTTACATACATATTTATGAATATCATTAGTTGTATTCCTTTCAAGAGTTTGAAACACTCGAGCTACTCGCTCCGGTGTTCAGTCGCCCCCGATTTGCAGGGAACAGATGCGTGGTGCAACAAACACTTTTCGAAAGGAATAAGCGCGTGAAGCCCCGGAGCTGTTCCGGAGCTCCTCCTAAGTGTGAAAGGAAATGAAAATTTGAAAAATTGGCAAAAGATTATACCTACTTAGTGGAAATATTCCGAAATCAATACAAGGCAATTTCTTCATACATAAAAACCTGTTCTATTCCTAATAAAGTAAAATAGGAAAAATAAGTATATCAAGTTTGGTTGGGCCAGGCGAAATAATAATGGCAATTTCCCGAGCAATTCCCATTAGTCAATCAGTGCGAACTTAGTGAAAAAAGTTGCACTGATTCTGCAAATTGAAATCGCTATTATTTCAAATCTTGGCGCCATCTATAATTTTTTTTATAACTAAAAATCTAATTTGTATCGTGTGTATGGGAGCGATGTTGCCCCCTTAAACACTTTGTCAAAAATTGACGTCACCAGAAAAAATTCAGCACGGCCTGGATTCTGAGCCCACGATTCGATAGTATTGTCTATATAAAATAGATAGATGATACTATCGAATCGTGGGTTCGGAATCTAGGCGCACATGATAGGCTAGAACCTGTGCTAGAACTGCACACATATTGGGTGGTGTGAATAAAAACGAAGTACATGCTACTACTACAAGTATTAGTATATTCTTCGCAGTATTTACTTCACAAAGAAGCATTTACTAATTTCCGGTAGTTTCGAAATATAGTATCTACTTCGTTTTGAAGTAAATACTACGTAGAACATACTAATACTTATAGTACTAGCAAGTACTTCATTTTTATTCATACCACCCATTGCTTCTGGCAGCCTATTACCTGAACCATGTTACACAACATAAATAAACAACGAACAATTTTTTTTATTTGTTAAACTGGTAATGGGGTCATACAAAATAAAAATCAAGTTGAAATCGCCACAGACTACAGCCTTTATATTTATAGGTAAAAAAAAGTACCTAGTACAAAAATTATTAACCCCAATTTGAGCTCCCGGTGTAACATACAAAATTTTGACACGCAATGACATATTCTAGGTTAAAAACGGGTGGAAAATGTCAAAATAATGTCATTTGAAGCTTTCTAGGTTGAAAACTTGTCAAAAAATGCCAAAAATATGTTATTTTTGATTTTGAATTAAATTAATGTATAATAGACCAGGAGATTTTGGAGATTTTTCTTGTACTACTTTTTTTTTTATCGCAACTGTACATATAGTGAAATTAATTAAACAGTGTATGCACGTGATAAAAATTTATGACATAAGCACGTCGCAATGTTGCTGCTATTAACATTCGTTTTACTTTGACATACCATGTCTAGTAAATTTGTTATCACAACAAATACAAAGCAAACAAACATCGATTTTCATATGTATAGATAGTGTATTATTAATAAATCAAACGAACTTACCTTGTAAGTGATATCGTTCGATTTATATTTTATGTCACGCCTCTTCTACGAAATCAATACGCAGTCCTTTCTCTAGTCACTAGGTGGCGCACAACTTTAAAGCAGCAAGTCAAAAGTTGTACTATCATCACTCACCCTAATGTAGCCATGGTACCCGTAATCCGATACGTCATTGTCATTCTTGTTTAAAGCTCCAACAACAAAAAACAAAAATTGCCTATACTGGGAGAATGAAATGGGAGTGTGGGTGATTTCTATGAAGAGGCGTTTATAAAATATAAATCGAACGATATCACTTACAAGGTAAGTTCGTTTGATTTATTAATTTTATGTCACGCCTCTTCTACGAAATCAATACGTATAGTCTGGCAAGTGGTAAGTTGGTAGAGACGAAAGGGGGAAGAAAAGTGGGGCGTGACCTAAAAATATTCAGTGACACACCAACCACAGAACATATCACCTCTAGAAAAGTATCTGCAATGGTATGTACCGGTTATGAATTACAGCGCCATCGTTGAATGAAAACCCAACTAATCGAGCATTCTTGACATAAAGGCGAATCTATTTTTTCCCTATATTTTTAATATTTTTAAATAATTTTTAATGCTCAACTGCATTTGGCTTGCTGACTCCTTTTAGCTCTTTTCGCCTCATTTTCTTGAAAACTATGACTGGCAGGAAGTTTCCAATGTCGAACATAGTGCAAAGAGAGTTAGTAAGTTAGCAAGCGACACGCAGCTATAGGTAGATCGCAAAGTAAATACGAATAATAAATACAAATACGAACGAAACGAAACAAACGAACAAATACAAAAAATACGAACAAAAATTTGGGTTTTTTTCAACCAAAACTTTTTGAATTTTCACTTTATCGCGCGTGGGGACCGTGGGGTACAACAACACAATTTAAAAATTCAAATTTTGACTTTTGAAATGACAAAATAAATGACAAAACCAACCAACACAAATCACTGTCCGCACCACAGATACCTGTAAATTTCTCTTATCTCCCGACAGTGTCGCCATCGTTGATTGAAAACCTAACTAAAAACCTTCGTCGCGATTCTCCCATTTGAGATATTTTTCTATAGGTGATATGTTCTGTGACCCCAACTGACACCGCCTGATGACAGCCATGTCTTTGAGTTCAGTGGCACCGAAAATACTAAGGAAATAAACCAATAAAATTATTAGAAAAAAAAAACTCTAGTTTCGCCGATAACCACGCCACTGCGTGCTGTCGTTCAAACTCTAACCAATAGAATGATGCCTCTGAATAATCACGCCTCTCCACATCCATCGTTTCGCAATGTTGCCGGATTTTTTTCTATGTCAAAATATTATACCTGCCCATATAGCAAAAAAAAATATGTCACCAACTTGTTTATTATTATTTCCGTCAAGTTTGGCAAAGCAGCAAATTCTTTTGGAGTTCGCCGTTTGGCTAGCCAGACTATAGATGTTTAAAGTAAAGCACATTTTTATTTTTTGTTGTAAATTTATTCGGTTATAGCTAGGTAGGTACAATATACCTACAATTCATAGAAGCTAACTTAATACAAGTAAAGCAACTGCTAGAACTAATATACAGGGTGTTCCGAAACTATTGTGCCAAAAATTGAGGAATCAACTACAACAACCAAGAGGATCTTGCCAAAATAAACGTCTTTTACTTATAAACCTATAGGCGCATGCGCTTTGGTTAGGTGATAATAGCACATTACAGTCCGCACTGTGGTAGCCACCTTGCACACGGAGAAACGTGTTTGAATAAGCAGAACCTGTGTTATTAAATAATACAGAACCCAAAGAATGCTTGCAGTATTTATTTAAAATAATGATTCACATCAAAAGATGCTCAAAACTACGACCACCCGCCTCAATGCATGTGTAACAGCGTTGTAGCAGAAATATCGAGTAGATTTCTGCAGGAAACCCTTCCCGAAACTGTATCCCTGTATACCAGACAAAACATAGGGTACCAACACGACAGACCACCACCACATTACTTGTTAGCCTTAAGAGAACATCTCAACGAAACATCTGGAAAGAGTGATTGTTAAGGCAGGCCGCACATCGAAGAAACATGAAACGTGAAACATCAAACATGAAACGTAAAACATGAAACAATAAATTACGAAAAGCGAAACCGTTTCTTTCGTGCATACTAATTGAAGAAACAAAAATAATTCTTGTTTCTTGTTGCAAATATAATTATTATATTTGCAAAGTCGTTTCAGGGTAGTGAAGTGTGAAGTAGAGTGTAGTACACAATGGAAAGTGAGGACGAGGTTGTTGTTGCTGTTGTGGCGTCTCTTCTTTATCATCAAAAAGCAAAAAAAAAGGAAACGACGTTACTGGGTACATCCATACAATAATATAAATCATAAACATAGCCATATAGTTGGGTTGCAAAGGAATTAAACAATTATCCTGCCAAATTTCAATCGTTTTATAGAAAGAGTAGATATACAAACATTCGCAAATTTATTACCTATGAAGAGAAACAGTGAAACTGAAACAAAAAAATAGAACGCAATCTATTCCATGAAACACGTTTCATGTAATAAAAATGTTTCTCGCGCATGAAACAAATTCGTTTCATTGGTGTGCGGACTTGTATTTGTTTGTTCTTATTCTATTTTCATGAAACGTGTTTCACGTTTTATGTTTCTTTGAAGTGCGGCCTCCCTAAGGGGGCATGGACTCCACGTTCACCAGACTTGACGGAATGCGACTTTTTTTATGGTGTTCTATGAAAGCTCTTGTTTACGACTCTCCAGTTGAAACAGCTAGAGGAAGTTAGTAGGAAGGATTGTTGCAGCAGCTGCTGAAATTCTCGAAACACCATGAATTTTTCAACGTGTTCAGGAGGCTATGCTACGGCGCTGTCACGCACGTATGGAGGTGGGTCGTCGTAGCTTTGAGCATCTTTTGCTGTGAATCATTGTTTTTAGTAAATACTGCAAGCATTTAATAACAGTTTCTGCTTCAAACGCGTTTCTCCGTGTGTAAGGTGGCTACCACAGCGCGACCTGTAATGTTCTATTATCACATAACCAAAGCGCATGCGCCTATGTTTTTAT